CTAACACTTGCTAAACATGCATTTCACACTAATTGGTCACATTTCCACAGGTAGTCAATTCACAGAACAGGGCCCATCCCTTGCCAACAGGCAAGTGTGGGAGGTAGCAGAGGGCCTGAATAGCCTGCAGAGCCCGCCAACTATCATTTGGTCATGCAGGGTTGATGGAGCCAAGCTGGCAGGCAGCCCTTGGCCGGCCCTTTGGGAACAAGGGCTCAGAGACATCCCATTTATTCGATTCCTACACAGGACTGCAGGTGGAAGCGGTTCCAGGGTAGGTTGCCTGGGTTAGGCTCATGATGCAGGTGCCATCAGAGCCCCTGAAGGTGGTGTTTGTGGGAGGTGATGCTCCCTATGCCTTGGAGCCTAAGAAAGAGATGGAGGCCTCTTCAAGGGGTGGCTTGGCCCTAGCYGGGCAGGTGGGAAGGATTCCCCAGACACAGCCCAGACATTACAATGCAGCCACAGCCCCTATCACAGGCCTGGGATGGCAACACAGACAAAAACACCAATACCCCAGGGCAGGCGGGGTTTTTTTTCCCCGATAGAAACATGTAAACAGCGACAATATTCTTTTCCCACAGGATTCCTCTGAGAGGAATCGACCAGGATGTCACAAGAGGTAGTTTTTCTTTCTTTTTTTTTTTTTCCATGGAAATTTGGTCAACAATATTATCACCTATTATAAGACATTCAGCAAAGAAAACAATGGTCATCAAAGGACAGAGGATCCTTTGGCCGGCAAGGGCTGGCTCCAGGATTTGGAGGACTAGTGTCCACTAGGATCATGACATTTTTCTTAGGCTTGGAGCAGGCTCTGGCTTTCCCCCAGCTCCCTCTCAAGCCTACAGCTGACTTCTGAGGGCTGCAGGCCTGGAAGAGGGAGGTCTAAACAAAGGGGCCAGGTTTATTTGCTGGTAGAGGCAGGGCCATTGTGGCTCATGTCGCAGGACAGTCAGAAATCTTCAAGTCTCAAGGTAGGCCAGGCCTGGCCAAAGAGGAAGCCCCAGCTTGCTCACAYTCAGCAGGCTCTCTGGGGGCCCCTGCCTCTGAGAAAACAGTCCAGGCCTGGATCCCAAGCCCAGAAGAGAAGATGTTGCTTGTGGCAGCCAAGACAGGGGTTTCTGGGGACCCTGTAATTAAATACACATCCCTGAGCTATGGCCCTAGAAACCCTTGCCTCAAGGCTCACCAGTTTCCAGCACCTGGTGGGATGATTGCCGTTTCTCATCCTGAGACACAGATAAAACATCATTTCATAGATGGTGGACATAGATGCTTCCAGCTGAGGAAAAAGGGAGAATGATCAACTGTGGAGGCAGAAGGGAGTGTGGGGGTACCCTTGTGGATCCAGGTGTGTGTGTGGGGGTAAGAGTAGTGTTTTGTTTTTTTTTTTTAATTCAGTTTTTTTTTTAAACTTTAAAAAAGTTAATAAAGAAAAATTCCAAGTTTAAAAAAAGAGATGATCTGAAAGACTGGATTTCTTAAAACAATTGCAAAAATTTAAAAAGCAACAAGGATAAAACACATAGACCAGTGGCCCAAAACTAAAGACTTGGAATCATAGCTCAACTTCCTGCTGACAGACCAGGGTCCCTTTCTGGCCAACCTTGGTCATGGCTTAGATGTTTCCCATACCAGGTTGTCTGTCTCCATCTCTCCATTTCCCAGGAAATCAAGAATAAACAATTATGGAGAATGGGTATAGCAAAGCAAGGCAGCCAACCCAGAGAGGCCAGGGTTTTATGGATCTGGTGATCCTGCCCATGGCAGGCACTCACTTCCCTGATAAGTGGGGGAAGGTCAGAAGCAGGCTGGTATGGAATGGATGACTTCCAGTGATGCCATGGAGATCCCTAAGTTCCCCCATCCCTGCTAAGGTTCTGGGTATCAGAATAGGGAGGTTCCTGCCTGTTTCCCTCTATCCCTGAGGCCTGCCCACCTCACTTGTGGGCTGTGCACAGGGTGGGGAGCCCTCTAAGCCAGGTGGAGTGCTTTTAGACAGATTTGGGGGAATTCTCCAGATTAAGGGAAAGACCACTATAAACTTTGCAAAGAACTCCAAAAATCTGCAAAGGGAGCTGGACAGCATTAATTACAGATGAAGCTCTAAGATTCCAAACTTTTGTTTTGGGTCAAGAAAATGTTCAAAAGGAAAAGAAGGAAAAAGCTTGCATGTTTCCACACAGTACAAGGAGGTGGGATTCTCCTTTCCACACAGCTTTCTGGGTCACACTTTTATGGTGGGAAAATTCTCACTCAAAATGAGTGCTTTTGGTGGCTGGGATCAGAGAGAGGACAGAAGACAGAGGAATCAGACAGCATGCACAACTTTTTTCTTCTTCCACTAGCAAAAAGGCTGCCTGTTAACCAAACATTAAGGGAAGAAAGGCAAAAAACAAACATACCAAACCTCCCCCTCCAACCTTTCTCTGTGTCCTTCAAACCAAATTCACAAATACATCTAGTGGCTGACCTAATGTCTCCACAGCTAGCTACACTCCTACCTTCTCCTCATAATACCTGAGTTTGCAATGCAACACATTCACTTTACCCTGTTTAGAAGAAGCCCACGTCATAAAAGGACTGGGTGCAGAAGACATTAAAGGCGGGCCACAGGTCAGGCTCCGGCTCGGAACACACAGCCACTTGGCTCAGAGATTCTGCAGGGCTCTCGGCAATGAATGGGCTCTTTGTTCTGTGGAATCTGCTGCAAACATTTGTAAAAATGGATTTATACAATGGCAACTTGCAGAACCTTTCCCCCACTCCACAAATTAACAACTTGCTCTGTTTAATACTACATTATTGGAGAGAGATGTTCTTGCTTCATCAAAGAGCAATTTCCTTTGACACCCAACAGAATAGGTAAAATGCTTAATTTTAACAGCAATTTAAAAAATAATAATCTGACAGATGGAAGTCTAAGCCATGAAAGATGCTGCACACAGGAGCTGTCTTAGAGAAGGGTCTCTGATATGTGTCTCCTCATCTTGAGGAAGGCAGCCCGGAATCTGACCTGTAGCCAAAGAATATGGTCTAGTTGGTTAAATAAAGAATTCAGGAAAACAAGAAAAATACTGTGAACTTACAAAAAAAAAAAAGAAAGAAAAAAAAGAAAAGAAACAAACACAACACACACAAATCTTCCCATTGCTATATGAAAAATATGCTAGTTGAAGCTTTTCCTGAGGGACATGACTTTTCTTTCTTTCTCAGAGCAGTTAGGGAAATAGAACTGAGAAATAATGCTCTGAATTTTAGATCCATCAAAAGATAAAATCATCACTCTGTTGATACCCGTAATATTTTGTCAGAAAGAAAATATTACAATCAGACCCAGACAACTCAGTGTGCACAAGATGTCACAGCCCCCTGGGTAGGTTTACTAGGCTGAGTTGGGGGAGAGCAACAGCCTTTGATCAAACAGAAGGCAGAAGGAGGTCCTATGGGCCCCTCAAGCCCACCCAAGGATGCACTAGCTATAAAAAAAGGTGCCTGGTTGTGGGCAGGAGCAGCYACTATATTAAGGCAGAGAAGGGAAAAACTCCTGAAGGAGCTCCAGGACAGACCTRGTGTCTGCCCAAAGTTAAAAGAGGCAAGAAAAATGTCCTGGAACTAGGTAGGGCAGGTAGCAAAATAAAAGGGGTCTAGGCCATATCTGCTGAGGTAGCAGCCAGACCCTTAGAAACATGAGGTAGTGTAGGGACCCCACCCCTTTCATTCCAGATGCTTTTGGCTCCAGCCCTTCAGGCCCTGGTCAGCAGGCCACCTAAGGGGTAAGCGGGGCTACTCTGGGCTTTTTGTTCTGGGGTGCTGGGAAAATTTGGCCTCATTTGGGGGAGATTAAGAGAACTTGGAATAAAACTTAGGAGCAAAAATTTCTGATCAGCAGATAGGTGAATGATCCTTTCCATTATTTAAAAAGGAGACTATACTTTTTGATTCAGTCATGAGGGTGGGGTAGGGTGGAGAGAGGAACAGGGGTATTCCAAAGAAGGAGTATTTATTCATTCAGCAGCCTGGCCTTTATCCCACTATCCTTTGAAGAAAATAATAATAAAAAATGAGTAGTGGGCATCAGTATTGAAAACCTGCCATTCTGCTCAGTCAGCTTTTCAAAGGGCTGACAGGAAGTCAAATTTATATGGGAGAGGGAAGGAGATTGAGGAAGACAGGCCTTAGCAGATCCACATAAGGAAATTAGGTAGCTGTAAGCCCCAAGGGAGCTGGTAGGCAAGTCCTATGGATTGACTTATTGCTGGGACTTTGCCTGGATGAAAAGTTGACAGTGGCAGAAACTTGATAGTGATGGGAGGGAGCAGCAGGATATAAGGACAGACAGTCTTCTGCCCTCAGGACTTCTTGGGTGGGAAGACACCTGCTTTAGATTTGGTCKCTGTGCCTACTCTCAACTTTCATATTTTTCAAAGAAATGAGATGGCTTAATCCTCATCTCCTGCATCTCACCCACCTCAATGAGTACTTCTCCCAGCACCACTTTGGTGCACTCTTTTACCTGACAAGTCTGTGGCTAGAAAAAGGCAGTTTGCTCTCTGACAGACAAATGTATAAGTCTGTGAGAAAATGTGGAAAAAGTAGGGATGGTCACACCCCCATTTCCATTGAGGTAGTCGTCTTTGTCAACACTATGGACATAGTCATCTCAGCCACCCTGCCCTCTCCCTCAAAATACAAAAGAACTATCTCTATACAAGGACAACACTGTAACATTAAACATCTTCACATTCTGTAAACTGCAAGGAAATGCATCTGCTGCATTCACACAAAAGCATGTGCATCATGTTGAAGGCCATACATTCAACTCTGTCGTGAAATAAATATATAGAAAAATGAGGTTAAAATAACAGACAAACAAACAAAAAACTCTTCCTGCAATAGAAACATTAGCTACACAGCCTCCATGTTGGTCTCTCTGGCTCTTTCCTCTGGAGCATGTCCTGCCTATCCAAGGCGCTGTGGCTGGTGCAGGGAACAGGTCATTCCTTGACAACACTTGTCTTGCAGGAGTGCAGCACCACCTTAAAGAGGAGGGGCAGCTGTTCCAGGGGTACATTCACCATCTTTCCTGGGGAAAGGTAGGAGAAGAGGAGTTAGCAATGGCCACTAGTAGAAGAGGGCACCTGCTTTCTCTTGGGCAGCTGAAGGGGGAATATCACCTGAGTGAGTGATGGGCAAGGGAAGTGCCAGGAGTATGGCAAAGGCCAGATGCAGAGAACSACTCTGCTATCGACTCATTTTGGTGCCCTCAGAAGACTCATAATCATTCTGTCCAGGGAATACTTACTGTGCTAGGTGTTAAATGCATTATCTCATTTAATTTCACCATATTTCTGTGTAATAAACACTTTCCATTCTCATTTTATACATGAGGAATCTGAAATGAAAGGTGGTCCTATCTAGCCCTCTTTCAGCTAAAGCACCTATCCCTTTTTCTTTTTTCCCTTGTAGAATCTAGTTATTCTACAAAATAATGCTTTTCAGAATAGCAAATAGGTTACTAAAAGTACAGAGGAGAAAGGAGAGGGATTGTAGGGGCAAAGAACCTTGAGAAATTTGGGGTTAAAAGAATTTTACAGGTTTTTTATTGCAGGGCTTCTTAGAGCATTTAGCATGCTAATATACTCTGTAAACTAAGGTAAATTAAGCCTGTGGTTCTTCTTCCAGACAGTAACCCAGGTCACCTGGGGAGCATTTAAATAACACTGATACCCAGGTTCCACCCCATACCAATTAAATCAAAAAGTCTGAAGGTGCAACCCAAACACTGACTTTTTTTAAAGCTTCCTAGCTGAGATAACTATGTCCATTTTTTAAATGCTGCCAGGTCCAGCTTATATCTGCTACATTGCTCTGTGACCCAAAAAGTAGGAAACAAATAAAAAATCCTCCTTTGACAGACTGAACTTTTTTCCTTCAAAAATTGTACTGCTGAATTTTGTAGGAATAATCACAATCTAGAGATCACATTTTTAAGCTGCTCCTCAGTACATGCTGGACAGCTAGAAACATGAACCCTTACTAAATGAATTAAAGCAACAACAAAAAAAAAAGCCAAGATTATGCATGGAAGCGGACCTATTAAATGTCAAGAAGTGGAGTGGGGGTGAAGACCACACACAAATACATATCCCGATACACAAAATTCCTTTGCAAACARAATTTTAAAGACACCACTTTAAATGACCCTGGAAAGCCCATAGGTAATCCTATGACATAAGGTTWTTTCTTGTTTGTTTTTTTGTTTTTAAACTGAGATAATTCTCATAAAATTTACTCTCTTAAAATAAACAATTTGGGAAATGAAGTTAATTTAAGATACTCCAATACTCCAAGCATGTTTTCCTATCCACAGAAGGACCATACCAAATCAACCTTGCAGAGATTGTTCTAAATTTAAATGGTAATAAGGCCATGGGTACCCTTGCACATCATGGGAGATCCTGAAATGAGAGCTTCTCTACAAAGAAGACAAAAAACTTCTTACTACAACAGAATTTTTCTGAGGGCAAGGGTAGTAACTCTTTTACACAGGTTGTAATGAGYCTGGAATAAGCATCCAGAAAACACTTATAATCTTGTATCCTACACAAGCTAAGACACACAAGGAAGGGTTGGGGGCCCAGGACCTAGAACATTACCTGCAATGTATCGAATCTCAGGTAAACACATCATGAGATCAGGAAAGCGGTTTGGCTGATGTGTATATTTATATTCAGTGAAATCCTGGCAAATGTACCAATATCGCTTGTTCAATTGTTCCAGCTGTGAAGCACTGGTCAGACCCCTGATATCTGTAGAAAAACAAAACACACACACGAGGAATGGGAAGGGTTTTCTAATGAGGAAAAATAATAGCTTCTTTAATATGTACATCCCTCAATTAAAAATTATTAAACACTGTCACAACAGGGGCTCTTTTCCCTTTTTGATATGGAGGAAATAAGTTCTGGATAAGGGAAGAGAAGTAAAAAATAACATAAAGGATAGTACTAGATTGAATCTTTTCAGGGCTAGGCTGTGTCTTTCTCAACTTCATACTCAGCTCCCAGCACAGGGTGTACTACAAAACAGGCACCATGAATGATGAACAAATGACTAACCTATTTTTCAAATTTATCCTTCATGATATCTCTGAATTTTCTCATCTTTGGAGCCAATCTTGGGGATACCTATATGTTTGTGTATGTAACACACACAGACACACACACACACACACAAACACATGCATGAGATCTCTAATGTCTCTCTTACAATTCTACCTGGGCTATTGTCTGTCCATCCTTCCTTCCTAATCTAATCTATCAACACACATAAAACCCTTTTTCTATATATAAAGATATACATAGAATATATGTAATATTCTATATATAGAATATGTTACTGTATATTCTATATGTAGACTATTATGTATTTATATATTCTCTATATTAATATTATATGTAATGTAATTATTAATTATACATGATATGTAACATTAATATTAATTGTGTAATATATAATGTTAATATAGAGAATATATTAATACATATTTTATATAGAATATGTATTAATATTTTCTATATAAACCTTACCCTACCCAGCCTTTGAGGCCCACCTCAAATTTCTCCTCCCCCAAGAAGCTGCTACTGATTTCCCCCATTTGAGGCACAATTTATGTGTCAAGTGCCAGTAGAGTGTATGTTTCTGGAGGAACCTGGGGGTCTAATATTTGTTGATGTCTTTAATGCTCAGCACAGGGTTTGGCCTACGGGAGGCATGCAGAGCACCAAATACATGCATGAATGGTGCAGAAGCCGCAGAAAGAGGTCTGGCCAGCATGAGGGGGAGACTGAACAATGAGGAGGAAATCAAGAGTCTCTATCTAAGCTGGGAAACAGCACAGGAAGAGAGCACTTTCAATGCCACAGGCACCAAAATCACCCAATTCCACTCTGGGAGCAGAGCACTTATTTTACTTTGGATAAAAGAACACAAATTCTCCTTTATATGCTGGTTACCAGCAGCTACCAAGTGCCACGTTGCAGGTAATGCTCCATATAAATCACATCCACTCTTTTAATTAAAAACCATGCTTGATATGCATGTGCTGAGTTTTTGTGCATCACCACTCTTCCCTGAAGAGGTATCAGAACCACTGCCAGCCTGTCACAGAGGCCTTATCTCCAGTAGTTTCATCAGTCACTCTGCTCTTCTTTAGTCGCTGGTAAACTAGCACATATTTTAAATGACGCATGTACTGTCCTTGGTGTCTGTGTTTAAATGCATTAAAACTGACTAAACAAAGTGAATCCTCTCCCTTCCTCTATGAGTTATAGAGATTGTGGCATTTAGATTTCAAGAAAAAATACAAAGCATTCCTTGCACTGTAAAGGGGTAGGATGATGACAAGGGGGAGTGCAGGCCTTTAAAATTGGTAGCCACATGGTATGAGAGCTTCTGTGACAGTCCTGAAGGAAGGGGAGGGAGTGAAATAGAGGTTAAATGCTCACAGGYGGGGGTGGGGTGGGGGGGGAATCCCACTGCCTCTCTCCCAGCTACTTACCTTGGTTTAGAAAGTTAATTGCTTTCATGCACGCGTATTCCTCATTGCTAACCTTTAGCTGATGGAACTTGTGATACAGATAGATGAGCCGCTCAATCACTTCCATCCCTTCATCACTAAATCTGGGGAACAGACATAGGGTTTACCCACAGGCTCTGATATCAGTGGAGGCCAGAAAGAGAAGACAGAGGGCTCTTACAGCTTGCTCCTTAAGGTATCTACAATAGCAAAGAGGATGAGCTTGGGGGAAATGGAATCCACAGGTCTCTCATGCCAGCTGCTATTCCCAAGGTCAGGCAGAGTCAATCAAATCTAGGTTCAAATCCAGCTCCATCACACACCCCTGGGACAGTCATTTGACCCCGTCTAAGCTTTGAGGTCTTCCTCTGCAAAATAATAATACTTGCTAGTTTTGGGTACCAAGGGCCAAAGGAGGTTTAGGATGTAAAGTGGAGAAATAGGACAATACTGAGATACTGCTTTTGTTGAGATGCAGCCTCCAATACCAATGGCAGCTGCCATGGTGACTCTATGTGAGCCTCTGCCACAATGCTGAAAAAACTGCCAATTTTATTTGTTTAGGTTCACTGTTTCAAGCAGGGTTGAGGTTAAGCACAATGAAAAATTTTGTTGGCATACCTGACTTCARCCAGGGTGGGAAGAAAACATCTGAGTCTCCATGCCATGCTAACCTCTGTGCTGGGCACTTTCTGTGCATTTTCTCATTTAATTCTTTCAACTTTTTGAACTAGGTGACATAGTTATTACTGTTGTGCAGATGAGAAAACTGAAGTTCAGACAAGGGAAGGGACTGGTTCACCAGCACACAGCTAGCTGGTGGCAGAATTAGAACTTGGAACCTGGCTAATCCCCTGAGGCCTTGGTTTTTCCAACAGTATATCCTAACAGAAGGGGCTCAAAGCTGGCCATGCTCCCTTCTTTGGGTCAGAAATGAGATCATGGGGAAAAGATTAAGTTTTAGGCAAAGGAGCCCAGGCTAGGCCACCCCAGGGACTAATGCTCTGGGTATGCTTCATACCAAAAATGGAGATACCAATAAACCAAGGAGGTAAGTGCTTAATGGGAAAGCAAAAGTTTGTAAAAACTGGGGTCAGGACTGGCCAGAATCAATCTAGGGGTGGCTGGACAGTGGGCCAAGGAGAGTTCCACCCACACATGCCTTAGATGCAGTTCAGTTACAAAGAGATGATACTCAACCTCATGGCTGCTTCTTGATTCAGATATGGGCACCGAGCTTATTTTGGTATTCCGAGTGTTCTGGACACTTGTGAATACACTTTTGCTTTCTGGAATCTACTTCTTTTTGTGTTAATTTTGAAGGGTTTGGCTTCCTGGACAAGTAGGATATTTTTTCTTTTCTGGCACTGGTTGGGGCCAGAGGTACCTGCAATTCTCAAGCACCAGGGGGAGCCACAGCAGTAGGTAGCTGCAATCAGGAGCTTTGACCCCTCTGCCTCATGGCATGGCTCCCAGTCAGTCTAAGCTTCTCTTAGTTTGCTGATTTAAGATATCATGGCTAACTCAATTTCTTTCTCATCTGGCCCAGTGGCTTCTACAGCATTATTGATACTTTCACAGGCTGGTTGATAGGTAAAGATTCTGCCAAGTGCTACCTGCTAGGTGCTTTACTGCACATACATGATCTCATTGGCCACTCCTAATAACTCAAAAAAAAGTATATTAATCATAAACCCCTTTGTTTAGAGAGGTTCTTTACTATGCCCCTGTTTCTCACATGATAGCCTATGGGATAAAAAATATCACTTCTATGTTAGGGATGAGGGAGCAGAAAAAGAGGTGATTTCCCCAAAGTTACAGAGAAGTGCATGCTGGGGGAGCCCAGGTTCAAACCTGGGCCTTCTAATTCCCAGCTTATAAGCTTTCCCAGTGCTTTGCCGCTCACCCCCAACTCTGTCAGGTTCAGTCCTGGGTGGGCATTTGGTGTCTCCATGATACCGAGATCACAGAAAGCAGTGTGCCTGGAAGTGAAGTCCACTCCTCATGACACTACTTTGTTGGCTACTTATGCTCTTGAGAGGGAAAAAGGGGGAGGGGGGCTTGATTCCCTTAAGAATCTGTGTTGAAGGATGGGTGGGGATTAGATGAGGTGAGGTAAGGAGAGCAGCATCTGTCTGGTGGCTCAGTAGTGTAGCAAGTAAAGATAATGCTCTGTCCCTTAATCAGCAACCTCTTGCCCCAAGTACTCATTCTGGCACTGCAGAATCTGCAGGTGTGTGGCTATCAGCCAGAAGCCTAGCCAGCAGTGCCAAACCTGTTCCTGGCTCAATCCTGACTTGGGAGACACAAAGGAGCTCTAAGTGCTTGATCTGTGCATATACACCAGATCTGTCCTTTCTCCTTGGGACAGTACATCCCTTTTTCAAAATTTCCTACAACAGGCAACCATCATGGACCCCTGGCAGTGGTGGGGGGCTGGCTGCCAGCCCAACAGCCCCCACTCTGTCTCCTCAGCTCTTCTGCAAAGCTTTCCTCTACACCCACATCCCACCACTAGATAAACAAAGTTGTTCTCTGTTCCACGGGCCTGCTTCCTCCTGTAGCCATGCCTCCTCCACATCTGCCCACTCCACAGTTCTAACGCCCCTGTATTCCCTGTCTACAAATTATCAGCATTCAAAGCCATAAAGTTGGACAAACACACCCATTCTTCTTCTAGGTTCCTATCACACAAGCATGCTAGGACAAGGAAAACACTCCTAYCAGGATCCCCAAAATCATTGGACCATTCAGTCAGCAATTGCAGCTGACACTATATAAGTTATATCCCATTAAGGGGCGGAGAAGCCCAGTTGTCTCTTTGCCATTCATCTAAATGCATCTTTTTCCAGGAGCAGCCATCAGCTACAAGCTTCAAGGAATTGCCGTCTCAGCACCCACATACAGACTTCAAGATGAAAAGTCAGATTACAGCAACCAGGACAAAGTCCAGAAAATCAAACCTTTTGAGAAGGCTCTGGAAAAATGAAAATTTGTATAGTGTAATGGTAAAAAGCCTAGGTTTTGGGGGTACAACAGACCTAGATGAGTCTTAACTCCACCTCTTTCTAGTTTTTCAGGTGTGAATTCTCACAAATCTCATACTCCTCATCTCTACAACAGATATAGTATTAGTCCAGTCTCAACACTAATTTGTGAACACTCAACAAATAACAAATCAAAAGCACTTAAGATGAAATTTGGCACAATAAAAAAACTCTACATTTGTTAGCTATTATTAATAGTATTAGTATCATCCTCATAAAGAAAAGATTGTGTTTCCTGAGCTCTATAGGGTCCGATCTGGGAAGCTGAGAGGCAACTTTCCAGAGACTTGGCCAAAATKGAGCTAGTGCTTAAGAGATAGAAGTGCCCATTAAAGTCCATCTAGCTCAAGGCATCTTCTCCTAGGAGTGAAGGAGTGTTGATTAGGGCCAGGAGCAGTCACTGGCTGGTGCTACAATCTGCTTTAAATCAAATTCATCCAGCTCACTCTCTGATAACAGTCTGATTAAGGAATATGGGCACCATAAATTTGATTGGATATTTGAGAASAGAAAGGGGATGGTCATGCATCATCTGGGAATAGCTATTCCTGACAGTAGGTACTCACACTCGAAAGTTGTGAAGAAGCAAAGGCCATCTGGGGGAGTGGGAGTAACACAGGCAGGAAAGAGCTATGGCCAATTAGACTCTACATCCTAGGATTCTAGCAGAGAGGGGATGCTTTACAGTGATTAGCCTGACTCTAGAGGCTCTCACACTTCTATATCCTATGCCCTGGTCCAACATGCACCTTAGATTCATAGACACCCAAACCAAATCAGAGCATTTCATCTCCCATCCTGCTCTTCTCAGGCTCCTTTATCTTGGGCCCAGGTAATCCAAAACCCCAGCAGTCATCCCCAACTTTTCTCACTCACAGAAGTCTCACTGATTTTACCTCCTTGACATCATTTAGCTTTGTGCTGCCCTCTCTACTCCCACATCACTGTTGCTTTGTCCAGGTCTTGTTTTCTTTCTTTCTTTTCTTTTTTTTTTTTTTTTGGTTCTGGGATTGAACCCAGGGACGCTCTAACCCAGCCCTTTTAATTTTTGAAACAGGGCCTCATTAAGTTGCTAAGGCTGGCCTCCAACTTACTCCAGCCTCAGCCTCCCAAGTCACTGGAATTATAAGCATGTGCYACCATGCATGTCTGGCCTTGTTTTCTTTCACTTGGCTATGGAATAGCCTCCTAATCAACTAYCTCATCTTGTCCAATCCACCCTGAGCTTTATGGCCACAGAAATCTTTCTAAAATGCAACCTATGTGATTCCTTCATGTAAAACCACATTCAAACCCAAATTCTTTCGATTGGCATTCGAGTACCTTTCTGAACTGTCTCGTTTATATCTTTTTTCCTCAGTCACTGATCCCTTCATTTTTCTGTCTCTCACATAATTTTCTTTATGCCCTAAATCCACAGGACTGCTTTTGGGTCCCTGCATAACTTCTAGAATTTTGTGCTATTCTCCTGTCTTCCATCTCTTCTGTACAACTTAGAAATATTGCACTTCAAGGTACAGTTTAAATGTCTATTATCATTGTTACTGTTTGTGGTACTGAGGCTAGAACCCAGGGCCTCACACATGCTAAGCAAACACTCTACCCAGAGGGACACCCCCCCAGCCTTCCAATGTCTATTTCTCTGATGAGCCTTCCCTGGTTCGACAAGTAGCCCTCATTCCTATCTSTGTTTCTACAGTCCTTCACACTCTCCTTGGTCTCTTCCAGTATGACCTTGCATTGGAGACTGTTTCTATGTGCCTCCCAAACCTCTAAACCAAGAATATGGTTTCTCAGAATCAGAAACCTTGTCTGCATTATCTGTGACCCCAGCACACCTTCCTGAACATACACACATACTCAGTAAATGGCCATGGGTCAGAACTAACACGTTGAAGTTAACTCTTACTTTTCCATTGATGGGTTCCATAGTAGAGTAAGAAGTCTAACAACAATCCATTTCTTATCCTCAGAGCTCCCTTGAAAGCTCAGCAGCAACATGTGTTCTAGAGTCAGCACGGCTTAACAGAACTTTCTGTGATGATGGAAATGGCTATATTTGCACTATTCAGCATAGTAGCCACTAGCCACATGTGGCTACTCAGCACTTGAAATGTGACACGAGCATTTGATAAACTGGATTTTTAATTTAAAGTAATTTAACTTTAAAAAGCCACAGGAGGATAGTGGCTACTACACTGGACAGTGCAGCTTTAGACTCTTTAGTAAGGAACTTTTCTAGGAAGTAAGTTTTCTCACTAACTCATCTGTAATAGGTGCCTGCCTTAGTCTTAGGACTCAAGAGATTGGCTGTAGTGGGATAAAGTACCTTATGAAGGTCAAAGTCAGAGTCTCCTGTACTGCCTGTGATCCCTACCTATCCAGAAAGRGTCTGGGAAAACCTATCACTCTACAGGGAGCTGAGCCCAGTAGGCAGCCTCTGGCTGAACTGGTAGACTCTAGGAAAATAGGGAGGCTGGGCTCCCTGGGCCAGCTCTGCAAACTGACAAACTTGAGGCAGGCTGACTGCCATACAAACATCTCCTCGGCCCAGAGTTATGGAGCTAGAGACAGAAATTTGATGGAAACGATGAATTAAGAGGCTTTGGACAAGGGTGTAGGTCATCTGCGAAATTAGAAAGCACTGTTTATAGAATACAGGGTCAGTTGAGTTCAACACTCTGTCATTTATAGATCACCCTGAAGCCAGCAGGCACCATTAATAAGAAAATATTAGAAAATAAGGGAAGAGGGTCAGCACCCAGACTCTTCCCTCCCTCGGCTGTGCAAAAGGCCCTCGAAGGTCTTGGAACTTGACTCTCTGCTTAAGCCCCAGCCTTGTTTGTATGCCATGAGTGAATGGTTGGGGGAGGTGCAGAGAAGTATGGGGGCTGGTCCTCTACCCTCTCAATTTTCATTCATCTTTTCTTTCATTTGGATGCCATGAGATCCCATGACTTCCATTATTTTAATCTGTCCAATAAAGTGATTTATTGAAGTGTGTATTTGAATGTGAATTAAGCTATATAACATATTTCATACTAGTAAATTAATAAGCCAAGAAAGTTGTCTCAACAAATCATTTGTCTTGATTTTGAGGTCAGAAAATATAGTCACCATGTCCCTAAGTCTCTAAAGTGAGTGACTAAAAAAGTGCTAGGACAGGCCATGGAAGCAGCAGATAGGAAGATGTGAGTTATCTGGGATGAAATTTTTGGCAGAAAATGGCCAAGAAAACAGTTTGGGCCCTTAGTCTCATGCTTTTGACATCTCATTGCATTCCTGATGCCATGAAAGAGTCTAAGCTTTGCAACAAGTGGCTATAAGTTCAAATCTAGGCTCTGGATTCAAAACCAAACACCTCAAGGCCTGGGCTTTCTGAACTTCAGTTTTCTCGCCTATAAAACAGGCACAATGACACCTATAATGCTGGAGGCTGTGGAAACAAAATAATAACATGAAATATGTAGCCTAGTGCCTGGCATACAACAGATACCAAAGTGATCTCTAGTTTCTTTCCTGGATTGTAAACTACAGTTCTGAACCCCTCTTGCCTTGTAGGCAGATTAGATTTCTGTTATTCCTAGATATATTATTTTATTTCACTAAACCAGACATAATAAAAATAACAATATAGCTTTTGCTAAGTTTGTACAACATTTACTCTTACAACCACTTTGTTGGGGAGGTATTGTTATCATTCCATTTTATAAATTCAGAATCTGAGGATCAGAGACTTAGTCAATACCACAAAGCTAGTCAGTGGCAGAATAAGGATTCAAACTCAGGTCTGTATGGTTGGATGCCATCCTTTGGAGGGCCAGGCAACCCTACCCTGCAGGGATGAGAAGGGTTTGRTTGCTTGGGATTCCCTCCCCAGCCAGCAGCCTCACCTGTGTAACTCTTCATCAGAGGGCGAATACTTGGCAGTAACATCAGCCAGCTCTCCAAAGATCTGTTTGCTGTAAACTGTGAGGGACGATAGCAGGATCAACTCCTGCCATGTAGAGCTCAAGAGGCACGTGTAATCCTTGATTGAGAGCTCGCAGAAGAAAGGCAGCTTCTTGATCCAGGCAATCTGCCTAAAGAGCAGCTCATCGGCCAGGCGGCAGAGCAGGGCAAACAGCTCTGCCTGTGTCACAGCATATCTGGGGGCAGGGACAGGAAAATCACTTCCATCAGCCAGAGGGGAAGGATAGGGACCCAGGGAAAGGATAGTCTTAAAGGTACAAAGTGTCCCTGGAAGTTCTTCCTTCCCCTTGACTACAGAGATCTCTAGTATCATGCAACTCAATTTTCTTATAAAGGGGAAAGACAGACCAGAAGCAAGCTCAGGGCCAAAAAAATGTTTTTTGTGAGAAAAGGTTGCTGGGAGGAAAAGAGATTTAGAAACTTGTGCAATTATCAGGGAGTATAGTATTTTTTCCCCAAAATGAAAGGAGTAGAATTTATTCAAGCATAAGGAAACATAATAGAATTCATATTAGACTCTTGCAGGGGCAAGAGGGGACCCTCAGAGAGGCTGCCGCAGCCAGGGAGGATGATTTTTCAAATTGGTGTCCTCTAATGTTCTATGTTTCAGAAAATTCTTAGTCACTTTTAGCAATGTAAACTTCAGTGGGGTGATCTGGTGCTCACCCAAACTCAGGCACCAGCACAAAAATGAACCTTAGGGCAAGACAGCCAAAGCCAAAAGGAGTCCAAAAGCTTTTCCTATCTCACTGCACCCTCTGGTGGTGAGAGTTCAAGAACTAGAGCTGCTCAGCCCTTTCTTTTTCTTTTCTTTGGTACCAGGGATTGAACCTAGAGGCACTTAACCACTGAGCTACATTCTCAATGCCCCCTACCCCGCTTTTTTTTTTTATTTAGAGACAGAGTCTCACTGAGTTGCTTACGGCCTCACTAAATTGCTGAGGCTGGCTTTGAACTCAAGATCCTCCTACTTAAGCCTCCTGAGCTGCTGGGATTAGAGGCGTGAGCCAYTGTACCTAACTGCTCAGCCCTTTCTTCAGGCGTATAGTTGGATGGAAAGAGCATGGCATTTCTCAACTGTGACCTAAAGGGGGCTTCTGAGGCCATAGACTCAGGGGACCCAGGTTTCTTCCTCTCAAGTTCCCTTAATATCCTCTTTCTCATACCCCACCCACATCCAGATATATAAAGATTTGTATGACCTTCTTGATAGTAGATATTTGAGTCTCTTYTGAAACTAGAGACTAACTTAAGAAAAACCTCAGGATATCTTTGGGGATTATAAACTTGGTAACCCTCAAACAGCCTATGCTCTAGGCCCAAAGGTAAGCAATGGATGGGTTTGAAGGCTGGACAACAACTTACTCAAGTAAAGCTAACTGCAGACTAAGAGGATTTACTCCATTAACTTAGGCCCACCCAAGGTGGTCACATGCAACATGCTACCCATGGGTATGCTGGCAAGGATGCAGACAGGCCATAATCAGGTAGGGCTTTGAATGTCTTGTTAAGGAGCCTACACACGGTATATTTTTACCCCCAGAATTATAGCTAAATTTACTGTGCAGAAGTACTCAGATATGTCCTAGGGCCTGGTTTACCTAACCATGACAAAACAAAGCTCTTCCATCCCAATTCCACACAGACAGAAAAGTAACTCCAACTTTATTATGAGAAAAKATGCTTAAGGACTGATTTTGAAGATAAGCACAGGTTTGTCTTCTGATGCTTAAATCATCACTCATTAACCCCTCATTCATTTCAAAGCCTCTGGTACACCAGCCAGGGATGCAAGTGGGTGCACTGTTGGAACACACTGAGATTGCCAGAGGTCAAGCAGCACAGAGCTCACTTACCCATCTTCGATCAACATGGGTGTGCCCAACGGTTCCAGGTCCTCAGCTGACATCAGTTGGTGAATCAGGCTGTATGACTGGGGGTCAAGGCTGCGAGCTTGTGGGGGCAGAAGTGGTGAGTGGCCAGAATAGCTAAAAAGGTGTGGTATGTATTGATAATGTGGGGGCACAGACATCCCCATGTACTGATCCCTGAATGTCATGAATCCGTTTAGTTCCACAGACCTACTGGAGAGAAAAATGTCAAGTCAAGCAAAGCCAAGGCAGGTCCCGTGCCTACTCAAAGAAAACAAGTCAGCAAGTGGCTTAGATGTTCTTTGGTCATGAGGTCTGTGTCTCACCAAGCCAGGGGAAATAATTAATGGTTATGTGCATGTCTCCTAGACTCCCATCTGTGAGACATAAATGTGGGGCTCACCATTGGACACTCAAGTGCCTGGCAGAGTAGGTACTGAATATATATTAGTTGGATGAATTCTTTGTACAGGTGCTACATCTGAAGAATTTTTAATGGATACTCAGAGACTAGGATGACAAATGTGGGTGTTTGCATTATTTTACCATTAGGAAAATGAAGGCATAGATAGACCACTTGTCAGGCCACAGAACAAATCCAGTACCAAGCAAGAAACACGGCATGTGGCAAAACCCCCCTAACTATTCAAAGGAAGGAACAAACTAAGGAATAATCCTAGAATAAAAACTATGATTAAATATGAAGAGGAAGACTTCATATTCATCCCTGGCTTCCCTTTTCTTAGGGAAATCTCACCACTTTCTGAACTAATTAAAAAAAAAAATTCTCTAGCTTTTACCTAGACATATATTCTATAATCAAGTTTGGCAAGCTACATCCTATAGACTGTGGTCTGTTTTGGTAAATGAGACTTTGTAAACTAGTAATTCAGACCTACTGGTTACATGTGGTCTATGGCTGCTTTCCCACTTTAAAGGTAAAGTTGAGTAGCTGAGACCCAGATCATTAGGGCTGAAAAGTCTGAAATACATACAGTCTTTATAATGTCTGTCAACCCCTRTCCTAAAGAAAGGTTTCTGGGGAAAAATAGACTTTCCCTGAAGCTGAAGGTTCTATTTCACACCTGACAACTAACTTAACATAGCATGCTTGAAAGAAGAGTCTCTAAATTAGTATTCCCTGACACAGCAAATTTGACTGGCTTATAAAACCTTCACTCTTTCAAGAGCTGGGGAGGCTCAGTTGGTAGAGTGCTTGCCTTGCATGCACAAGGCCCTGTGTTCAATCCCCAGCACCACAAACACACATACACACACACACACACGCACACACACACACACCAAACAAATAAAAAACAACACCTTAACTCTTTCTTAAAATTTATAAACTAAAAAACATTGATTCTTATGAGGCAATTAAAAGAAATTATAACAATTTGATTTTTTTTCATGTATAGGGGATTGAACCCAGAAATACTTAACCACTGAGCCATATCCCATCCCTTTTTTATATTTTATTTAGAGACAGGGTCTCCCTGAGTTGCTTAGGGCCTAGCAACTTCCAGAGCTGCTGGGATTACAGGTGTGTGCCACCATACGGGGCCATCAATTAGAYATTGTCAGTATGACTTGTTTTATTTAATGATAAAATGAGAGATTTGATCTCTAGCACATTATAAATAAATTAAGTAAATAAAGGAAAAGCACTATATTTAAACATTATTCTGCCAGGTGAAGACTTTATGGGCATATATGATTAGTCTATAGAAGAGACCACTGACATTTTTAAGGTTTTTAGCATAAAATGGGCTGGGAAACATGGCATAATCCATTCCCCTACCCCAGAGTCTGRGGGAGTAAGAGCACAATGGCTGAAAGAGCCTGGCAGGAATACTCAGCCAGAGGTTTCTTCTGTTCTACTATTTGGGTGGACCCTAGATGGAGATCCTGGGTTTGCCTTAAAGCTCACCTGGAGGACAATGTGGAGCCTGGGGAGGGCTGGTTGCTCTCTGAAGCTCTGTTCCCGGGGGAACTGTGGTCGCTGTCACCATGGTTGCTCCAGTGATTGGCTTCTTCCTCAAATTCCTGTCCAGACATGATCCTTTCGATCTCTTCTTCTGATATCTTTGACAAGGAATGAATATATGTTAGATTCAGTGCTTAAGATACCCTCTGTTTGTCCTTCAGGACTCAGAGCTTATTTAAATCTTATAGGATTCCCAGGTTCCCTCTCTTCCACCTCATACTCCAGGTCTCCCCCAATCTTATGACAGCTTGATTGCATACTGCCCAGCACCAAACACAGATCATCAGAGCCTTCCCCTTGCCCACTTAACCTGCTCTCATGCCACACAGTCTATGTGTTCCTTGACACTCCTCTTTGTCCTCGAGTCTACACTTTCCTAACTCAATGACAATCTCCTTTTAAGAGTCAGTTCAAGGGGCTGGGGTTGTAGCTCAGTGATAGAGAACTTGCCTATAAGTACTGGGTTTGATCCTCAGCACCACATTTAAAAAAAAATAGTTATTGTGTCCATAAAAAAACATTAAAAAAGAAGTTCACCATTTCTGAGGCTGGCTTTGAACTCATGATTCTCCTATCTGAGCCTCCAGAGCCACTGGGATTACAGGTGTGGACCACTATGCCCATCTTCATCTTTACTTTTAATGTTTTTTTAGACAGGGTCTTGCTATGTTGCCCAGGTTGGTCTCAAACTCCCAGGCTCAAGCAATCTTCCTGTGCCAGCCTCCCAAGTAGCTAAGAATACAGGTGTGTGCCACTGTGCCCAAGCGTCATTGTTATTTTTATAGCACTATAGTAAACATATAAAAGTATCCTCTAAAGACCTAAGGCCATGAAAGGACATAGAAAAGAAGAAGTACTTAGTAAATGTATGTTAAACACACAGACAATGTTCCATTTATTAAATACTGCCTATGTGTGAGTAGGAAATACATTTTTTCCCCAGTAGGAGATACATTTCTAATCCTATTAAGTAAAAGAAGAAATGGCAGCTCACATAGTGAACTGACTTAAACAAAATCACACTGTATGCCTACATCTGGGCAGAGTTTGAGGAAGAGGTCAGAGTATGCAAGTATTCAGTCCAGTGCTCTAGCTACTACCATATAGAGAGTAAATACGCTTCTTCTATAAAGTCTTTCACCTAGAGTTGAGGTCTAACTGGCTACATTCATTACACAGAAGGAGATTAAGTACTAAGGAGGTGGGGCCAGATGACTTTTTATGTGTTGTTCCTATGGAAACCTGGGAGGACATTTTCTTTGAAACCTGTCTGACTCAAATCTGCATAATTCTTTGCTCCACCAGCCTCTAAGAGAACCCTGAGTTACCTCTATAAATACAGAAACATTCAGAATTGGAAGACAGCTAGCACACAGGACTTGAATAAGAAAAGGTTTAACTGATACATAAATTGAAAGGTTGGTTTGAAATCCTTTGGATTACATACTACATTGGAAGGATTTTTATTTTATTTTTTTTAATTCACTAGGAGTTGTATATAGTTTAAAAAGAAAAAAAGAAAAAAAAGAAGAAACAAAATATGTCTGTCTTTTCTCTTCAGGCGTTCTCAGAACTCTACCCCCGCCCCCCCCCCCGTTTTTTTTGTAGCATCAGTGATTGTGGTGAGAGCTAGACCAGAGCTTGAAGAGCCAGAAAAACTTTGGCTGGGTGAAAAGGGTCCKGGTGAAGTCAGCTTACTTCAGCTGGGGGCTGAACCTGTCTCTCTCCCTGTGCACCAATGGGATACTGGGCAATCAGTGATACACAGAATAGAAAACAGAACATATTGAGAGTGGGTTCAAATTTCCTCATTTCCTAGCTGGGTGCTATAGGGTAAGTTACTCAAGCTCTCTAAGCCTCATTCCCCTCATCTGAAAAATGAAAACAACATTATCTCCCTGTAGCTCATGGTTCTCTTACAGGATGCTAAAGCAAAGAATTACGCAGGTTTGAGTTGGATAGATTTGTGCACTGTGGGTGGGAATATAAATGGTACAGCTGCTATGAAAAACAGTATGGAGGTTCCTTAAAACCTTAAGGTTTTAAGATTCTTAAAACAGAACTACCATATGATCCAGAAACCCCACTTCTGGGTATTTGCCCAAAAGAACTGAAATCAGAATCTCCTAGAGATATCTGTACTTCCATGTTCACTGCAAAATTATTCAAAATAGCCAAGAGGTAGAAACAACCTAAATGTGCAATAATGGAGGAAAGGATAAAGAAAATGTTGTATAAACACACAAAGTCTTAAAAAAGGAAGGAGTTCCTATTATATATGCTACAAGGATGAACCTTGAGAATGTTATGCTAAATAAAATAAGCTATGGGTCAAATATTTCATGATTCTACTTTATGAGGCATCTAAAGTAGTCATATTCTTAGAAACATAAGTAGAATGGTGTTTGCCAGGGGCTGGGGGTTGGGAGCTGGGGAGCTGCTGTTAGAGTTACTGTATAGAGTTCAGTTGTGCAAGATGAAAAAGTTCTAGAGACATGCTATGTAACAATATGCATACAGTCAAGAACTGGACACTTGAAAATTTGTCAAGGTAGTTGGGTGTAGTGGCTYATGCCTGTAAATGCAGGAGGACCCCAAGTTTGAGGCTAGCTTGGGCAACACAGCAAGATCCTGTCTCAAAATAAAACAAAAAGAGCTGAATGTAATTCAATGGTAGAGTGCTTGCTTAGCAT